TTCTTGGTTCTGCTGTCAAATATCTGTTGACCATACACTGTGGCTTTAATTCTGGACCATCGATTCTGTTCCATTCGTCCACGTGTCTGTTTTTATGCCGGCACCACACTCTCCTGATTATACAGCCTTGCAGTAAGTTTGAAATCAGGAGGCGTGGTGTCTCCAGGGCTGGTCGTTTGTGGTATTGCACGGTTCCATCATACGACAGCTTTCCAATTATTTGTTTCTTCTTCAAATTCTCTCATCAATGTTTTATAGTTTTCAGTGTACGGATTTTCCATCTCCTTGATTAAATTTACTCTAAGCATTTTATTGTTTATGATATTGTAAATGGATTGGTTTCTTTCTTTTCCAGATAGTTCACTGTTAGCGTACAGAAATGCGACTGCTTTTTGTATGATGACCAAGTTTGGTGCTTAACATCCAGGTGCTCCCAGACCATGGCTGAGGGCGGCAAGAGCCAGCTCATCAGCCACTTCAGGGTCCACAGCTGGGACCAAGTTTTGTACACCCATTAACTGGTACATGGGCAGGCCTGACTCCTCCTGGGTCTGGTGGAGTAGGGTGCTGATGACAGGACCAAACTGAGTGGGGCTGCAGTCAAGTTTGCGGGGTACGAAGCTGCTCCTATGTCAGCAGCCAGGATCACAGTCAGCAAGTTGGCTGTCCGGATGTGAGCTGCTTGCTCAAGATGATCCTCCTTGGATCTGGATTTCCCTGGAGTTTCACAACATCCTAACTGGACCTCAAAGCTCCCACGAAGGCACTTTTCTTGGTGGATGGATGCCAAATAATTGTCGTTGGAGGGGATACAAGCGAAGGACATCTTATTCAGCCATCTTGCTGATGTCGCTCTCAGTTTTTATTTTAATAAGAGATTCTTTGTCGCAAGCCACACAAAATGGTCTTAAGGCCATAAATAGTTTGTATCTGTTTCAATAGTATCAGTAAAAACTATAAAATGAATACAGACTAACTGATGTAATGCCTGAAGGTAGATTTTCTTTTTGGTGGGGATTCAGGTAAAAAGTATAATCTTTATACGATAGATGATTGGCTAAAGAAGCTGTGGTATGTATATACAATGGAATATTACTCAGCCATAAGAGATGAAATACTGCCATTTGTAACAACATGGATGGACCTTGAAATAATCATACTAAGCGAAATAAGCCAGACAGAAAAAGTTGAAAATCACATGATATCACTTATATGTGGGATATAAACCTAAAAGCAACAAATGAAGAGGACAAACAGAGACTCATGGACATGGACAATAGACTAGTGGCTACCAGAGGGGAGGAGGGAAGGGGGGTAGATGAAGGAAAAAAATTTAAATCATTTCTTCAATTAAAAATAAATGAAAAACATTAAATCATGTGAAACAAATAAATAATATGGTATGCCTTCTCAAAAAAAACCACACTATAATCTTTATAAGGAAACAGAACACATGAAGGTTTTGGTAGAAACTCCAGAAGTTTGTCATGCTCGGTATCATAAGTATTTTAGTTGTGGAATCTTGGTGGTGAGAGCTCATTTTGTAACGCTAGTTTTCAAGCCTAGAGGTCATTTCCAAACTTAAATAATCTACTGACTTTGAAAATTTTTTTTCAATAGTGCCCCCTACATTTAAGTCAGAAGGACCATACCTCGCTTTCTTTTTCTGGATGCTTTTCAACCCACATTCTCGGGAGATGTGCATCAGTCAAGCCGACGCGGAGGGAAAATCCGCTGCTGTCTAAAGTGCTCCCCTCCACGGTGCTGATCACGGCTTTGCAGTCTGTGCTCTGTGGACAGACCGCCAGGACAGCAGGTGAATGACAGGCGATGCCCTGTCACTGGCCTGCTCTTACCTGTCCAGCAGCACACCTCGCATAACGCGCACAGCCTCTTCACGAATCGACGATGTAGCAACAAATCTTGAAATTAGGAACTGTGGGTTTTTGGTGTGGCCATCATTTAATTACTTACCCTTCTGAAATGCTAAGGGTGGTATAAATAGTCAAATTAGGTAAGTTTGCAACAGTCTCAAACCCTGGATCCAAATACGATCGATCTGGGTATTTAGTTAGAGTCCGTCCTCTGGTGACAACAGAGTGTACCAGGTAGTCATAGCTTAGAACAGCAAGACAGAAAATTCAACAGAAGTCTTAGCATTATACTTTCCTTTAAAGTTTTATTTCCATAAACCTAAAATCACTTTTAAAAATGCATGTGGTAAACTTTAAAATCATAAAGGCAATGTGGCAAATTCTGAAATGGCCACAGAGTTCTCCCAGTCTCATGTGCTGGTCCCTCTGCAACGTGACTGTGCAGCTCCCGCTGTCAGAAGCGGCATCGCTTCCTTTGCCCTTGAATCTGGCGTTGGCCACGACCTGCTTTGGTCAATGGATTATTGGCAGATGTGAGGCAAGCAGAAGCTTGAAAAGTATTTATGCAATGGTGCCTGCCCTCCTCTGTTGCTACTGAGAAACTTCTGTCACTATATACGCCAAACTGACCTACTGTGCCTGATGACGAGACTCATGTGACCATCATCCCAGCTAACACCAGGCCAACTTCCAGGTATGTGAGTGAGACCATTCTAGACCTCCCTGTCCCAGTCCAGCCAGCCCAGCCCAGAACTGCCCAGCCAACCCACAGAGCTGTGAGAAATAACACGTGCTTGTGCTTTTAAACCACAAAGTTTTATCTGATGTAAGAGGCTTCTTGTTCAGGGCGGATTAAATCTATGTGGTGGCCTCCATTCCCTAACAAAATCCTAAACTCTCTACAGTAAAAGGGAATCAGGTAACAGGGTGTAAACCCATGGAGATATCGAGGACAGGAAAAAAGACAGCAGCAGGCGAGGGATGCCCGCACATTTCCGCAGGTGGAAAGCAGACAGGTGTGGTAAGTGGCCCAGCCATGGCGGCGGGCTCACGAACTGCAGCACCCAGGCCGGCTCCCACGCTGGAGGCACGAGCTA